TGCTTCATCTAGGCAACAAAACAGGCTATCTTCTTGAAAGTGAAAGAATGTTTAATTCCTCCTGAGGACTTGAAACCCACAATGAATTTGTACATTAATAAAACATGGCAATGTGAATGGGACAACTGCATAAATAATAAATTACATAAAATTAACCCGAAAATTAATGAAAGAAACTTAGCAAATTATAATTTTGAGACCAGGCATGTTCAGACTGTTTATACTAGATGTCGAATTTCACATTCTAGGTTGACTCATTTGTATTTACTCAACAACGAAGACCCACCTAAATGTAATTACTGCCAGGCTGCTTCTACTATCAAACATATTTTGTTGGAATGTGAAAGTTTAAATACAATTAAGACAAAATTTTTATAAGGAGAGTACTTTGATGGACATTTTTAAAAAGATAAAAAGGAAGAATCTTAAATTGTTTATCAAAAATTGAACTGAAAAATCATATTTAACTTTAAATATATTTTTGTGTGGATTTTATTTATTTATATTTGATATTTATCTAAGTAACTTTTTATTGTAATACAAATTTCTTTTTATCATGTAATATTTTTATGTATATCCTTTTTCCCATGAAGTAGCCATAAGTTGCTGATGTGGCAGTAAATAAATAATAAATAAATTATATAATTTGCAATTGATAGCTGCAATTGATATTACAACATAGTGATTCAGCACACACAGTTAGTGTTAGGTTCGTTTGAATTAAGTTTGTTTAATAGTTTTTTTTTTCTAGATTTTCTTTTATTATGTGCCTCAAGTATATGTGTAGATGCAGGAAATGAGATTTAAATCGAATTATAATCCCACATTTTGTTACACCCTTGCTTATTCCACCAAGTGTTGTATCCGAAAATAAACAAACAAATAAAAATTGCAGCTTTTTTTGTGACAAACAACATAATCTGCATTTGGATTTATTTACTTATGTTTATTCTGTGTTTTATGTTGTTATTTTATGTACATAGCTTTTTTTTTTCATTGTTTGTTTGCGCGTGCGTGCGTGCATGCGTGTGTGTGTTTATGGGTACAGTATTTCATGGTATTGTTTGTTAAACCTACACTTGGAAAACTTCACAGAAATCCATGTTTAAGTTGTTTTTCACAATGCAAAATGCTGCTTTATAAAAGCCAAAATAACTTACGTGATTTGCAGAAAAAATCTAATTGCAATTTTTCTGACTGATACAGCAAGAAAAAAAGTATTGAACCAATTCACTTAGATAATGTATTTCTAAAGGTGTTGTCTTCTGATAAATCTTACTGTTATTCGTCTCTGTCAGGATCCAGAGCCGCTCTACAAGGGTTTGGTGAAGAGTCTCGTGCAGGAGCTCGCCCTTAAGAAGCTCTCAGAGCCGCAGATTGTGGAGAAGAAATGAAACCATCTTCCCTGTTTGAAAGAGAAACGTGTATTTATTTGTGTTATCATCACCAGAAGCTGTGTGCTTGTGTTCTGTAAATATATCATTTTTACTTAATAAACCGATTAAAAGATGTGTTCGCCTGTCTTATTAGAAAAACTTATTTCTTCAACTAATGTTGTCACTGTAAGTTTTAAGAATGTTCATGCAAAAATTCTATAAGTTTATACATAACATACTGGTTTTATAATTCAGTTATAAGGGGACCAAATTTTTGACAAGAATTTTTTTACCTTTACAGATTAAATCACATTTAATTATCTATAATTAGCTATTAATTCATTAAAATGAGCAAACCATTTTTTGCATGTTGTTGTGGGATATATTTATAATTATTTATGATAAAAACTAGTGCTGCACAATATATCGTTTCAGCATCGATATCGCAATGTGTGTATCCGCAATAGTCACATCGCAAAGATGTGCAATGTTGAGTCGACTTTGCAGTGTAATTTTTACATTTACATATAAAAAACCATAATGCATTCACTGTTTATTTCACTTGTATCTTTGCTTTTTTGCATTTATCTATGCTTGTAGTTTGTTTATTACATTTTATGCAGGATTCACTCCCCGACAGAATCATCCCAGTCAATAAAAATAAATATTAGGCAACACTTTAGGGACCAATTCTCACTATTAACTAGTTGCTTATTAGCATTCACATTGGCTGCTTATTAGTACTGATCGTATTCTACATCCCTGATCCTACCCAATAATCAAACTACCTTAATAACTATTAAAAATATTAGAAGGATGCTAAGAACCATTACAACGCTAAGAGCAAGAACTGAACCTTAAAAAAAGTGAGACCAAGAATTCTTTCCAACTATAACAACTGTATCGCAATACATATCGCAGAAAAACAAAATATTGCAATGTCAGATTTTTACAAAATCATGCAGCCCTAATAAAAACTGACCCCAGCAGATTTTAACTCAATTACACACACGCACACCACTTGAAATAGTAAAACAGTAACTACATAAAACAGCAAACAAATACAGACAGTAGGTTTTTATGACAAAATTTCTGCTTTACAAATCCACAATACAAAATAAAACAAATCTAGAATGTGTAAGAAATTGTTTTATTAAGTATTTAGTGAATATGTAAGTATTGTTTTTATATTTTAGCAAATTCTTATCAAATAACTTCATATGTATGTCTGCTTTTTTGGAAAGGGGTGTTTACTATTTCTAAATAGTAGGAATGGGCCGATAACCGTGTTCAAGGTTTGGAAAAGTCAAGGTTTGTAAACCGTCAAATTTTCTGCTACACCGTTCCTAAGGTGTTATATTTTTTTATTGACATTTTTTGTGACAACAATATCTCCAGCAGAAAAGATCTTCAAAGATGCCATTTTAAATCGAAAACAAGTCTGTTTTGGAAACTAAGGAAGACAGCAGAAGTCAACGATTCATTTGAATTATTTAGCCTGACATGTTTACTGCTCCAAAATATTTTCAATGTTTGTCAGATTAAAATATATTGTGTACAAAGGGGAAAAGGTTTCGTTTCTTACCCAGACATTTTAAAAGAATATATTTTAGAGCAGTAATCACAATACCGTGATACTGTGAAACAGTGATATTTATATTATCATACCGCCAGAAACTTATCCCGACCCGTGCCTATAAATAGGCTAAAAAGTAACATTCTGGGCTCATTTTGAGCACAATGGTCCGTGTACGTTTTGTTAATTTGTTTTCCATTTTCAAATGGAATAAAATGTACGTTAGCTTGTTAAAAACGTATTCAAACTTATATTCACGCATTTAATTTTTGTGTTGTTGTAGTTACTGTGTTATAACAAAGATTCATGAACATTCAAAACTCTATTCCACTCTCAATTCGAGTCTAATTAAAATGTACATATAAATAGTGTTACCTTAACGAGAATAACTAGTATTTGACTACCTTAAACCTAAAACTGCGTCTCTCTTGTTGATAACAGGTTTGCCGTCGAACAGCTTCAGTTCTAGAATCCGCCGCGTGCAATCCAGTAATCAGCGCGGCTCACAGCGCCCTCTGTTGGTGAATATAATAACCACCAATGCTGTTAGTAACCGAGTAACCCTCACCCTTCTCCCAGTGTATTTGTCAGCTGGTTTGAACATGATATAAAAACAGACACATTTTCAGTGACAAGACACCAAAAACCGAAACATCTTTCGTCGTCTGTTAAAGCTCATTCATGCTTTGTAATGTTTTTACTTAAAAGTCATCATGTACTGATATTTTTACCGTCTATGGTTCTGACACGATTAGAAGCAACATGATATGTATATTGTTATATGTACAATATTGATAATTATACTACATAGCATTTTTTTTTAAAAAGGGAACTGTTGTAAAGCTAATTCATACATTCACTTAACCGACTCAATGACGGCAAAAGAAACAAAAGGAAGCTTTGTTTGCTGTGTTACCAAGAATTAAAGTTTAATAAAATATTGACTTCATTTGGACCTGTTTTCTCAATTGGATTCAAGTCAGGTGATTGGCTGGGCCATTCTACAGCTTGACTTTCTTTTTCTGAAAGCATTTGACAGTTTCCTTGGTTGTGTTTTGGACCATTGTCTTGCTGAAATGTCCACTCTTGTTTCATCTTCATCATCTGGTAATGTAGATGTTGGACTGAAGCGGCTAATATTATTTTATATGACAAAGGGCAGAAGGTTGCTGAGGAACTACTAAAAATTTCTCAGCTACTGTCTGAGCTTTCGCTGTTATTTACTATTATTATACTACTATTATTTAATATTATTATTTCATATTAATTCTTGTACAATAGTATATCATATAAAATGAATATTCTCAAAATATTACTTTTTCGGTACGCAATACAGTGCAAAAAACACTATGCTGAACACAGATTTTTTATTCTTAATATTATATACTACATATTATATAAAATAAAATTTATGTTACTAAAATTAGAGCCTACAGGAACTATTGTTATTTTTTTGAGTACATACGCTATCTGAAACCCTTGTGGTATTGCGTAATACTGGACCTTCTGCCAGGATAGTCAATGTTAAACCCTGTTAGTCTGAAATTGCAATATATTCAAATCAACAGAGAGACAGAGAAGAGAATCTCTTTACATTAATAGTGTTAAAAAGTCATGATGAGTAATGTGAATGGAAAATCACTTCTCACGATAGTCACAAGAAAAGTCATACGCTCTGACATTAGGTCATAATGAAAGCTTTTAAAAACAGAAAACCTACAGCATCATCTATAAATAAAGTCCACTGAAAGACTTGGGGGCGAAATAGTTACGTGTTGAGTGTGTGGTTATAGATCTGAAAGCTTTATAAAGTATCAGAGAAGCACAGCAATAGTGAACGAGGAAGTGACTGCAATTCTTTTTATCTGATTGCCATAGTCAAATGCATGAAATCAAAGGTCTGATTTATTTTCAGTTAGAAGAACATTTTAGTCTAACCAAATTTAAGAGGATGGATTGTTGTGTTTGCACTGAAGGGTTTCATCCAAATGAGATCAATTGCCAATGTTTTGTTTGTAATGAGGTACATTTGTTTGGAGTTTAGAAACTTGAGACAGAAAGAAGTGACAGTTTATTCTAGTGCTAATAGCAAGTACACAGAGGAACAGTCAAATTGAGTCAAATTATTTTTCCAAACACAATTATAATACAATAACACACTGAGAAGCAAAGCAACAATATTTGCAAGCAAATGAAGACATTTTACAGCACATCTACAGTGCGGGATATAAGTATTCAACATCTAACTATTTTCTCAGAAAACATATTTCTAAAGGTGCCGTTGACTTGAATTTTTTTCCAGATGTCAGTAACAATCAAAGAAATCCATATATGCAAAGAAAACTATTTTTTATTAATTTACAAATTATATATGTGTAATAAAATGAAATGACACGGGAAAAAAGTATTGAACACATGAAGAGAGTGAAAGCCCAGACAGCAGCTGAAATCTCTTCAGTTCTTCAATCGCTCTGCTCTATCTCATTGTAATTTAATATCAGCTGCTTCAGTGCAACATCTACATTACCAAGATGAAACCAGAGTGGACACTTCAGCACGACAATGGTCCAAAACACAGCCAAGGAAACTCTCAAATGCTTTCAGAAAAAGAAAATCAAGCTGTAGCATGGCCCAGCCAATCACCTGACTTGAATCCAATTAAAAATAGCAATTAAAGATCAGATCAGATAGACAAGACCCACAGAACCATCAAGATTTTTACACTCTGTTGAAGTCTGTGAAAAAAGCACACCCGAGCAATGCATGTGACTTCATTCTCCATATGAGTGATGTCTATAAGCTGCCATTACCAAAAAAGCTTTTAATATAAAGTATTAAATACAGTTCAGTAGATCAATATTTTCTCCTTGTGTCATTTCATTGTTATTAAACATATTTTTTTCAGATTGTTTTGTTACATTGTTATGTTTGTATTGTTTGGGTTTTTACCAAAATCTGGTTTAATTCTGTCAACAGCTCCTTTAGAATACTTTCCCAGGAAAATACATGACATGCTCAAAACTTATTTCCCCCAATGTACATGTGAAAATAAACAAAATGCTTTCCATTGTTTAAGATTGTATATACAGCTTCCTTCAACTTCTACTTAGTTACTACACAGACCAAAGTATCCAAATGTTTGTGTCACTTTACTACATTCATTTCAGTTTTACTAAAACATGACCAGGGTTTAGATTGAAGCAGTAATGTGGCGATTCCCAATGAAACTAAAACGCTCCCTAAGCCACCGACTTGACCAAAGTACCATACTGTCCCAGGAACCAGAGCACGTGACCTCCACTGCCTTTAGATGCTGATAGAATGTTTTATAGCAATTGTTTATGGTTCTTTTAATGTCATTTATATGATGTATTTTGAATAACATATGACATTTACATGACACTGAACAAAACAAACTGATTGGTAGATTTAGATGTCAGTCAGGTTCTACATGTAAACCAAAGCCTATGCAAAAGTGCTCACTGGAAAACCAGATATCATGATAATGCACTACATTTCCAGATAGGAAACGGCCACTGGCAGGTTTATTGTGTTTGTCTTTATCATAGTTCACCAAAAACTACAAATTTCCTCATTATTTACTCACCCTTAAGGGGGGTTCACTTCGGTTTCTCTATTCTGTTGAACACAAAATAATATAAGCAGCTTAAAACCTGTGACTTTCATAGTAAGAAAAGCAAATATCTTCTTTTGTGTTGGACGAGTGTGAAAGATGAGTAAATGATGACAGGAATTTCAGTTTTGGGTGAACTATCTCTTTAAATGTCGTATTTTTCCTCTTTAATGCTGTTAATTGAAATTTCTCAGCTCTTCAGAAATGTTATATCACGATTCAAGTAACACACGTTAGTGAATTTGGATTGGGGACAAGCACAATACTACAAACCTAAGCTCAGAAACACACACAATAAATTAGCAACAACCAAATAAAATTCACAACTGGCACATTACAAGCAGATAAGCAGCATCTGTTGCTCCCTTTACAAAACACATAGGCTACATGCTAGGCCTACCGTTTGCTAACGGTCATTAGCCTCAGTTACTTCATAAGTACTGAACATTCCCTACCAAATTGAAAGTCAAATAGTGGCAACCAAAACTCACTGGCAGTCAATTGCAGTGTTCTGACATTTAATCCTACTCTGTATTTGAAGGGCTCTAAGGTTAAGGTTAAGGACAGGGGTAGGCCAAGCCCTCATATCACTCCACATCAAAAATTGACGCTGTTAGCACAAGCTGATTTGTGGCATATTTCACCATCAAGATGTGCTACCTAGTTTTTGAATGGGAGGTAGGACAATCTGACAAAGTAGGACGAATCGACAGAACACCGCCTCAAAAATATGTTTAAAAAGTCAGCAGCGACTGTTCATCTCAGCATTCAAAGGTCCGGGTTGTTCTCAGTCTTCACAGAGGAGAACATGAACTCTTCAATGTTCTCCAGATCTGCTGGATAAGGCTGATTCTCACTCACCATCTGACTGAAGTGTGCATCGTTTATGGATGCCATGTTTAACATTGTTTGGTTAACATTTATATCTGCGCCATCCAAAACAAGGTTTAATTCAGAACTGAGTTGGTTATAGACCTGGTCAGAACCATGCGGACCCAAGCACTGGAGGAGGAAGGAGCTCAAAGCCTCTTGGTCCATGCTAATACAACCGTCCTCTTGTTTAAAGTCTTCGTTATAGAGCATCTCCTCCACAGTTAGAGATGGCATGTGGATGCCACCATCCTGAAGAGGGACTGCGATGGGAGCACTCGAGACATTACACTCTGGGGTGGGGTAGAATGGATCAAATTGTTGAGATGTGCCAGGATCATTCATGAGCAAGTCTTGACCTAAGAAAAAAAACACAGATGTGGTCAACAGAAGTTCAGATTATTTATGAAATTCACCTGACATAAAGATTGCTGATTTTATTGATCAAACTGGATGAAACTAAATACAGCTGTAAAGTTGGTGTAAAACTTTTTTCGACCATTTCCAGGTAAAATCCATATGATCAGACATGTGTTTTTGAATCGTTACCATCCAACAATAGCACTCCTTATACTAAAAAAACACAATGCTAAACTAACCGAGACTTCTCATCACATTTATATATTGTCTGGTGATTTGAGTGCTCTTTTAACCTTATTTGTAAGTCGTTTTGTCAGCTAAGGGCCTACTCACACTATGCCATCCGTACCGTGCCCAGGCCCGTTTCCTGGATCGTTTGAGAACGTTTGAGGCACGGTTCACTTGGCTGACCCTGGTCTGGTTGGAAGAGGTGTGCCTGAGCACGGTTCACTTGGGCTTTGGCGTGCTACACTTGTATGTGAGTGCAAAACGCGCCAAAGCCAAAACTGAAAGCGAGACGTGACTTTTAAGGGACTGTTTCATATAGATTTATGAATCATTCTTACTGTTCAGTGAACGCAAACTGCCGTAGTTTATTAAATACGCAAACCCCTCATTGCACAAACCCCCTAATTCCTGCAGCACGAGGGCTTTATGATTGTTGTTAAGCGTCAAAAGTGGCTGATCTGTTCGGCGAAAGATCTGACTGCGTGTCACCGCATCCCTAAGGACTAAAGCGATACGAGTAGAGAAATCTCCACTGTGCTGAGCGAGAGCGCTTACTGAACAGCGCAGCATTGATGACGCAAGCGTGCCCAGGCCCGATTGTGAGTGCAGGCCGTTGGGGGAGACAGGAGGGGGGATAAGCGTGCTTTGGCCCGGTTCGAGGCAACTGTACATAGTGCGAGTACGCCCTAAATCAGTGGTTCTCAAACTGTGGTACGTGTACCACTAGTGGTACACAGGCTTCCTTCTAGTGGTACGCAGAGGAATGAAATATGTCATGTACATGCTACACACATTTCAAAATTTATCAAAAATTATGTATATAATATGCCACATATGACATATAGCCTATATTTCTGAGGTAATCCGCCACGTTTTTTTAACTGTGCAGAGTTGTAGCTGCTTTACTGGGGCTACTACACTACTGTATTTCAATACTGCTCATTTTTGTGGTACTTGATAAAAAAAAGTTTGAGAGTCACTGCCCTAAATTAAAGGTGCAGGATGTAGTATTGTACACCTAGTGGCTGAACTAGATATTGCAGTTCAAATTCTAAATATTGGAGTTTTTTTTCACCAACAATGAATCAAAACAAACGAAAGCTGCCAGATTGAAGACACAAACAAGAGCAAGCTTGTCTGAGGATCGAGCTTTACACTGTACGCCACTCAGGTTATGTTTATGTTTGTAATATTTGCAATGTTTACAAATGAAAAACGACCTCATGTGGATTGTTTTAAACTTGAAATCTGCATCTCATCAAATGCATAGGTTGCATTTTCAGCCGTAGTCTCATACATATAATAACCGCCAAAATATAATGGAGTAAACTGGCAGTGGGTGGGTTATAGAGACCAAAACAAGACAAAACAAAACTATTTCAAACGCAATTAACTGATGTCTGCATTGTTGTTTTAAGATAAACCAGTATGTTCACTTAGCATGTTTCTTAAATATCTGCACATATGGTATTTTTATGCAGATCAACTATTCACTGCAGCTTACAGCTTATAAATTTAAATATTTACTGAATGTACAGAATATGGTATTTAATCTTCACCACCTTCAATCTAAACGCACAATATTCTTATACCAGTCCTTATTTTAACACGCCATTGTGTGGTTTTGGGGCTATCTAGAGCATAAATGAAAGCCGCTGCTCTCTGTATTGTTTTTATTGTCTCTTTTTGTGTTATTCCCAATTATTACATTAAATGATCAGAAAAAGCCCATATATAAACAAAAAGCTGTTAACAGACCTCAAAAAGAGATCAAAAGCGGTCAAAGGAGACAGATTAAAACATCAGATGTAAAAGGGAATGTGTTTCCATACTATTGATTCAATTGACCAAAATGCATTTTAATATTAGGAGTAAATGTGGCCTTGGACACATCCTTACTTTGAGGAATGTTGCAGGACTCGCTGAACTTCACATCAGTTTTCATTTTCCTCTTGCGGTTCACTCCATAGGGATCTGCAGACATAAAGTGAAATCATCTTAACCTCCATTCATTGTTAAAAGGGAACAGGAGCATGTGATGGGGGCAGAAGTTACAGCTGCACAGACTGTAAAAGATCTGTTTGTGTTCTAAAGACACTAGATGAGCTATTATGAAGGATTAGTTTCCTCTCGCATATTTTCAGTCTGAACAAAATAAAAATGCTGGCCATTTCTAAACCCCCTTTGAATAATTTGACAGTGACACATAACCCCCGAGTGCAATATTTTAGGAACTAGCAAGGAAAGAGCTGATCCATTTCTCCATCTTACTAACTGTTTCAGTTGACTGTCCTACTGGTCAAGGCTATTACAACACCCTCAGAAGAAAACAAAATTCACACCACTTTGGCAAATGTTTAATATTGCAATGTGGAGGAAAAAGCTATTTGTACTTTTTATATGTTTTACTCAGCAAATGTGTTCAATTTATCAAAATTAATTCTGAAGACATAATTCTTGCACAAAAATAAATGTAAACAAAACTTTTTGTAATGATTTTAATATTAATAGGAAAAAGACAGTATTAACAGTATTAATCAGTATTAATCGCTCAAAGCTGTTTAGAATTAAATGTTTAGAGATGGTGTGACCAAAGTCCCAGTGAGAAGTTTATAGTCTTTGGTACGTGCCTTTAATGTACCACCTGGCCACATTGTCCCCCGATCATGTCAATAGACTGGACTGTCTAAGCAACTGGCTAAATGGTAAGGAGGACTAAGCAAAATTGTTTCTGCTTCATAATTAATGTTCTCAACTCACAGCAATAGAGTTTTACAATGAGTACAATTGTTTGTATTCAATACTTTTTTATTATTATTATAGTTCTCCCTTTTCCATATTTGCAACATCTGTATTTTGGATTTTTTTTGTAGCCCACTTAGAATCCACTTAGAAATAATTTTTGTTTGTTATTGGCATTGATTGTTTTGAAATTGAAATGGTACTTACATGCCTGTGTTTTTATTTCTGTAATAAATATGGCATTTCTTGATTAATCATGATTAAATACACAAAATTGTGATTAATTAGTTTTTTTAATCATTAGACAGCCCTGATATATATATATATATATATATATACACACACACACACACACACACACACACACACACACACACACACACACACACACACACATATATATACATATATATATACATATATATACATGCATACAGTGGGTGACACTTCAATAGGACACTTTAATAAGAGCATTAACACCACACCTTGTACTGCCGCCGCTCTAAAGAAGAAAGAATGTGATTTTTAAGTATGACTGCAGTTTGCGACTATGCCGCCAAGAGGCACAAAGGGACGGGATGCGAACGGACAGAAATAGCCTATACCATACCTGCCAACACTCACGTTTTTTTTTTTCTTGGGAGTTTCCCGTAATTCAGACCCATCTCCTGTTTTGTCATTTCTCCCGAAAAACTCACTTAGGGTGCTTTCACACCTGTGAATCGATTCAGTTGTTCCGAAACAGAGATAACAATTGTTACATTGTTGCTCTTTGCTCTTGGAGCGGTTCGCTTTCACACTGCAATGTTTCTAATCGGACCAAAAGAGCTAAAACAAGTCACGTGCGAGTAAACTCTCCTCACATTAGTCAGAGTGTCAGGGTTTATTTTGCAGCGTCCCGCTAAGCTGTCAGGAGAGGTGGTGGTTTGATTGTGATTGACAGGGTGAGCGCGCGCGACGTGTCTGAGGAGAGACGGATGAGAAGGGGTGGAGGGAGAAGGGAGGGAGGGGTGATAAGGGTGCGCGACGATGCCTATTTGAGGACTGGAGGGAGACGCGAGATTACCGGGAGATCATCACTCGTTTGCGGGCATCCGGAGACTCGCGAAACTTCCCGCCCTACTCATAATTCTCTCTTCATATAGCCGTAAGCCTATCACATATCTATAAAACACTGTGATATAACCGCGCTCGGATCGGATCGCTTTCTCACTGCAATCGATCCGCTCCAGGGTTCGTTTCAATCGAGCCGAGACCACCTCACTCAAGCGATCTCGGAGCGATTACTTTGGCGCGGAACAGAGTGCGATTGCCCTGTTCACATATGCCAATCGAACCGCGCTAACTGGGCAAACGAGATACGTTCCGAAACAAAAGTGTAGGTGTGAAAGCACCCTAAATTTCACCCCTTTCCCCCAGTTCTCAGTTGCTTGGTACAATCTATAACACCCCTGGATCGCGGACTATTTGCAGACTATTCTTTTCATCTGGCATGCGTTATTAAATTCCAAAACACTTTCACCAGTCCTTACTCCTTATTTGCGTCTAATACCCCAGTTTGTCACGGGGGCATAAATGAAATGTTTGAGTGAAAGTGCCGAACTGCAGTTAGTCAGACATCCTGCTGATTTGATTCAGAAGGGCACTTTTTTGTCATACCGCTCACCGGTCAGGTATACATCCGAGCTAAAATATCAATGTGAAAGCCATCATAGCTTGTGTAGAATAGACCCAGATTTAAACCCAACTTTGAGAATATATATATATATATATATATATATATATATATATATATATATATATATATATATATATATATTTTTTTTTTTTTTTTATTACTTTGTGGTGAAACAAGGTCCTGACAACATTTCTATATCTAGTATTTCTCTAGTTTCTGATAACTCACCTGCATTGTCTGGAACATAGGTGAACTTGACAGGCTCACTGTCCATCCGATCAGACATGCGGCGCAGACACACATTCACCTCCGTTTCTTCCAAAATATCCTGCTCCCGGAATGGTGGCGACTTGAAGACAATAGCTATTTGTCTATGGACATCTGTCTGAGCAAACTCTGCTTTGGCCTCCCAGTCCTCGATGCTGAAAATGATCTCAATGTCATCTGTGGAATTTCAAAGAATACAAATGAGCTGTTAAAAACACAGCAAATGATAGGAATTCAGGACATAACTGTGGCCTAAAGTCAGGTTACCTTTCTGCACTTTGTCACAGAGCATGTAAATCTCTGTCTTTCCCGTGCAGGGTCCTCTAATCACATTAAGCCGATTGATTTTCAGCTCTGCAGTAGTGGTTGCCTCTAATCAGACAAAAACAAATGCTATCAGCTGAGAAACTTCAGAGATTATTGCATTCTGGACTTTTTGGATCAATGTATAGATCTTGCTCTTACTCTTGTCGTAAATGGGGTTGGAAACCACAGGGTTGAGAGTGATCCTATCTCCGTTCTTTTGTTCCAGCTCACACTGAAAACACAGTCTGACCACGTTCATGTCCATGTCTTCTATGCTCTTACTGTGCCCCGCTGGTGGAGAACAGAACAAAGAAAAACTTTAACAAGTGTTTATACTATACAGCAAGAGAATTATTAGGACCTGTTTCACAACCTAATAAGTATATTCAATAAACCTCAAAGAGTTAAACGAATATGAAGAAACTAATTAAATAATAATAATAATTAAAATAATAAACATTAATATGGGAAAACATTAATACTTTGGCCCTTTAAAAAACATGTTTGTGCTATTAAAGACTATGTATACACGTACAAGCAAGGCATATAGCAAAATACGTCCCACTGTAGCTGACGGTAATCGGTCAGTTTGTATTTTATGTTTATTATTTTTCGTATTTTCATTTTTGAATGTGTATTGGTTTATGTTTACTTTATAATTTTCCTTGTTTCCAGTTGGCTTGAGTCGGAGGTTACATGATCCTCCCTGACGGATTTAACCTGCAAGATTTGGTACAGAGAGCATGGTGAGATCTCAATGCAGGCACATGTTAAATGCTCCTGATTATTCTACTGCTGGTTATCAGGCCAACACGGTAAAATAAATATTGTTTGTATATTATTTTGTTTATTTGATGTCTTATTGGGGCATCACTGTGGTGCAGTGTGTAGCATGATCGCCTCACAGCAAAAAGCTAACTGGTTCGAGCCTCGGCTGGGTCAGTTGGCATTTCTGTGTGGAGTTTGCATGTTCTCCCTGTGTTCGTGTGGGTTTCCTCTGGGTGCTCCAGTTTCCCCCACAAGTCAAAAGACGTGTGGTACAGGTGAATTGGGTGAGCTAAATTATCCGTAGTGTAGGTGTGTGAATGAGTGTGTATGGATGTTTCCCATACACACGGCTGGAAGGGCATCCGGTGTGTAAAACATATGCTGCATGAGTTGGCGGTTCATTCCGCTGTGGCGACCCCAGATTAATAAAAAGACTAAGCCAAAAAGAAAATTAATGAATGAACGAATGAATGATGTCATTTTGATTATGTTGTGTTTGTGTAAAACATTTGGTTTGTTTGCTCATCTTTTTAGTTTTCACCGTGTTCAATAAATAAAATGCTTGGACATCAGTATTTGGGAAGCGTGGACTACATAATAATCGTCGGGTAGCTACACCCACCTTCTAAATTAAAGTGAATCACTGCTGCGATAGAAAAAGTCCGGATACTTATACTGACAGATGCATTGGCTGGTCCAGACTGAAATAGTACTTTTAATGCTATTTGCACATAAAAACAACAATTAAGAGAAAGTTCATGTCAGACTTAGTTTTTGTTACTCAAATGTTTGTGAAATTTTAGGTTTTCCCCACCTTAAGTAGATGGTATTTGGGCTTAGATGCAATGTCAATTTCTTTGAAAGGGACTTTCGCGCTTTTCTTTAAGACTACTCATTTGATGTTAATCAGGCTACTGTGCTGTTTATACTTTGTTTTGAAAATGCGCTTTCAATATTTCGATCACAAGACATTGACTTTAACATTAGCATAAACAGTCTAAAGTGTTTCAAGGTTTGTCCACTTTTGAATGCTTCCAGTGGGAGCAGGGAGCAGAGATCCTCAATGAGGTACAAGGCGAAAGCATAAATCAGGCTTTAGGATCCACACAGATCTATAATGAAAGCATTCGATTTGTTTTGTAATTGCTTATGCTCATTTAAGACAAATTATGTGTGTTTAAAATAAAACACGCAGGACGGACATTTTTACATATTAAGTCTATTTGTCTGTTTAAAAACACACCTAAATCCCAAAGTGTCCGCTTTTGCTCCTCTTTAAATGTCATTGAAGCTGATCTGGCAACGGTGTCTTTTTACTGAAAGCCTTCGTCAGTCAGAACAGCTACATGAATTGACTGATTAAGAGGCTGCATATGAAGGGCAATGACTGACGCAAAGCCTAAATGCAAATAAATTGAATACAGATGTTTTTGTATTTATTTCAATGCGTTTTTAAGCCAAAGTAAAGCGAAAGCTAATATTCTTGAACAGCTCTTGCAATTACATCACATTTGAGATCGGCTCTTTGATGCTATTTTCACTTTTCCTAGCATGATGAAATATATGGGAAAACAACGGGAAAATACTTAAACGGGATTATAGCGGAATAGAATGGTAAAATACGTGAGAATACCAGCAAAAACAAGAGTGTTGACAGGTAGGTGTATGCTATTAAATTAGCTTCATTAGAATCCATTAGATTAGATCCATTTAGTCTGTAGTATCAATCAACAACTCACTGTTAAAAGGGTCGATATTTTTATTCCTCCTCTTCTGAAGTGAGGCATCAAGTTCTTTCCTCCGCACACACTGGATGCCAAGATTTGCAAAACTGGAAAACACCAAAATACTCAGTCAGGAAATAGAGTTTCAGATCACGTTCTGCTGTCATCCAAAAACACTGACGTCAACAGAAACGTACCTGTGACGACGATTACTGTGAGGATTAATGTGTATGACACAAATGCCATCTGTACAGTCTTTCCCGACCAAGCAGTGGGGGTGTGGACGGTATGGGATGTCCTTTGTCACAAGAGACACCGTGACCATGACTTTCTTGATATTGTCAATAGGCCCTTGGATCTAAAAAAAAAAAAAAAAGAAATGAAAAGATGACATGCATTTTTACTTCTGGTTTCATAACTCATAACTGTGGTGCCACTGCTGTTGAAAGTAACCAAATATGATCATTTCTCAGTGGCAAAAATGACTAATGAGCATGTTTATGTGTGTGGTTCAAAAGGTAATTCCCTCCGTAATAAGCCCACAAAACACACACACACACACACCTCTCCAGGGAACTTTCATTTTCAGCTGCAAGGACACGTTTAACTTGATTTCATACATACACAAGCAATAAAACAAAGTGGGGGGAAACCCCACCATCTTGGGATAGTTGGTGCATTCCAAACACACCCGGTGAATAAGATAAAGAGCTCTGATCAATTTCGAATTAGTGTAAATGGAAAAAATGTGAACGGACGATGGAAATTTACTGAGAGGTTCACTGGGTCAAACTGAGCATAAATTTCTTAACCTTATAAGGGGTTATATTCATTGCAAAACGTCTCTGAATTGTCAACATTATAAAATATTAGCAGAAAAACCTGTTTTGCACAATCTTGTTCATTATTTCCTTCCCCAATCAAGAGCTCATTATTCTTAAAGCAACAGTTCAACATTTACTCCCCCTAGAGTGCTTTCATAACTTTAGGAGTTACTTTTTCTCTAGGTAGATATTTTGAAAAATGTAGAAACCTGTAACCATTGCCTTTCATAGTAAGACAAACAAATAGTCAATGATTACTGGTTTCCAACATAGCTTTCACAAAAGAAAGAAAACCACTTTGAGACAAGTAAAAGGTAAAGTAAATGATGACCGAATTTTCAGTTTTGGGTAAACTCCCCCCGCCCAGTTTATCCGCTTGTTAAGTCGTGATGTCGAGGGGCGCCCCCAAGGCCCCGGCCAGATCTGTGTAAACTCTGGCCACCCCAATATGATTTTGCTGTTAATATTAATAATTAAAATGTATTTGCATAAATTCACAATATTTCAATAAATAACTAAATAAAATGCAGCCACTAAATTATTGTGGATTGACGCCACCAACATTAGTGATTCGCTGCCCCTTCCCCTTTAAAATGCGCTTATAGATGGTTTGGTAGATCGTTTGACTGTTATTCTGGCTGCACCTTGGGGATGAATTACTGACATTCAAACGCAGCAGATAAGCTGACTTTACCACAGCAAATTCAAGTTTGCATTTTTTTTGTTTTTTTTAAGGATCAGGTTCTTATAATTTGTGTAGTATTGTTTGACAACGAGAGACGAAACACGACCTTGGATTTTTAAGATTGTACACTTTTTATTTAAACTTTTTAAATTCTGTTTTATCAGATTAAAAACCACAAATTCCAAAAAAAAGGATTGCATTTTGAAATCAGCTTTTTCAGAATCTAGTGTATTTAGTACCCTCATTATTTTTGTATTTTATTTTTATTTTTATTTTTTTGCTGGTTTACTTACAAGGGCCAAAAATCTCAATGTTTTTGTGGATGTATTTTGCAAAAAGAAACATTAATAAAAAAGCTGTATTAATAAAAGGCTCAAAAAGAAATATGGATAAATTATATATATATATATTAGTTTCTGTACAGCGAGTCTGTGTATATAGTAATGCTTTTTGTTCAGTTTGTTCATTTGTCTGTGTTTTTAAACTAAATGTTGATTTTTATTTGGTTTGCACAGGTACTTGCTGAATAATTTCAAGGAATAAACTGCATTATTTTAAGAGTAATTAAATGAATTAAAACAAAATTATTTCATTTACCAGGAATAAAAATATAATATTACACTGAATTCATATTTTTTTGTGTGCCACAAGATTTGGTGTGGCCTCAAATGGCCATCCCTAAGAAAAATTTCTGGGGCACCACTGCGTGACGTATGGAATGCTGTTTCCGGGTTCAAGCCGATACTCATTTGAATTGAGAAAATTTTCAGTTATGACCAGTTTTTAGTCATATATTACACATTAAAGTGAGTTTTATATATAATCATGGTGTACACTACAGTCTCTGGACATGCTGCATCACAGACACCAATAATTGTAACAATATATAAAACACTAATCACTTTCTGGCCATCTGATAGCAGGCATGGAAATACAGCGCTTGGACCCAGTAGCCGCTTTGCATGATGTCACACTTAACAAGCAGATTATGGATATCTATTTTTTCAGTACAAATGTTCTTCCTACTCACTTCAATGGCAGGTAAGGTCTTGTTAGAATCTGTGCTGGAGGCTCCAAGGATGCTGCCTGCTGAACGCCCCTCACACTCATAGCGGAAACGCATGCCGCGCTCCTTGGGCTGCTCCACCACCACCAGGTCTGGCTTTTCCAGAAACATCTCCAGATGTTCTGTACCTGTCTGCTGAGGAATACGACGCTGGGTTGCTACAGATGCCAGTCCCCGTCGCTGAGATGACCCTTTAGCACCTCGAATGGATTGCATCGCTGCCATACCATCAGCGTGCGCAGTGGGGACCTGGTCAAAGCTGAGTGAATTCTGTGAGGAAAGAGAGATGCAAACTTCATTTTTACATTTGAAGAAGATTAATGATGCTTTTACATCGGTTAACCATGATTGTTAGGACATTGCTATGCAGTTGCTGATATTTCAAATTGACCTAAGTGAGAGAGAGAGAGGCATATAAGCTTTCTGGCTATGTCACAGCAAAAAACAAATCAACTACATTTTATAAATATCACTTGTCAATAATTCCAAAAAATATTCTAACAATTAAAAGTTATCGACAGCAATATGTAATATTGTTACTACCCTAAATGTCTAGGGCTGTGGTGGAACATGAGCTAAAGAAAATAAATAAATAGTTATCAGGTTATGATTTTAATGATCTTAAGGTTCTTTTATTGTGAGAAAAGGGGGAAAGGTTTGTGTTCACAGAAAACAAAGAAATGAAGCACAAACAAAATAAGCTTCAGGGCTGGGCAAGGTCAGCATAATAAACAAAAATTTAACTAACTCCACCCTGAAGATAACTTTCCTAAAGAATCAAAAGAAATACAGAAAATAAATTACAAATACTACCTTTACTCCTAAACTGGACCAAGAAACAGGAGAAAAATCACTTGAAAATAAATGGCACTCAGCCCATACAGCACTCAGTGTACAGCTTTATCATATGGACAGGTGTTAACAGTCACAACAAAGAAGGAAGAGAAGAAAGACCTTACATTTCACACCTTGTGACACACCTTTTTCTAGACAACTAGAAAAAAAAGATAAAATGATAAATAATAAGATAAATAAGATAAAATGCATACATAATAATAAAAATGATAATATATAAGATAAAAATCTAACTTAATTTTGCTTTTGAATAAAAAAAGTAAAATTTTTTTTTATTAATTTAAAGTTTTTTTTTCAGATAAAATGTATGTCTGCTAACATTAGAAACAATGCATTGCACAAGAATATGTTTAACAGTTTGGTTTCTGTTGCATTATTGACATTTTGACATTTGCATTATTGACAGTTCTTCTTCTTTGAGTAAATGTTCATGTGCGAGTCTCGTTTGTCCTATACGGCATCTTCTGTAAACATCTCATCATGTCTTGAGTTAAAAAAAAAAAATAGTTGTATTTTCTTCTTGACCTGGTTGTTCTCAAAGGTTGCCCTGGTGGTCCTTTGTAGAATTGTGCTAGTTGGCGTTACTATGAAATTCTGCATGTTTTTTTAAAACCTATTTATTTTACATGTAGATTATTACAAGTCTGTAAGGACGTTACCGAATTACTATGCAGTTACTAAGGTGGTCATTGGGATTTCACACCTTTGCTTACAAGGGTGTTGCTGTGTGGTTACTAGCAAGATCTTAATTAGTTAAATATACTAAAGACTTGTTCACAAGAAAAACAATAACTTTAATGAAAACTATAATGATAATATTACTTTTCACATATCAACAGGTGAGGAGTAATTGGCAACAGCCATTGAATTCTAAGAAAGCAATGCACACTGTAAAATATAAATGTATATAATCTAGTTTCAAATTAACAGTGATATTTATATAACTGAAAAGTTATGTTCTTTGGTTTTTAATTATATCATTTCATTTGAAACTGTAGCAGCCCAGATGTGAGAGACATAAAACCTTGTTGCTTCTTGAGCACTGGCTGAGCCAAAGTGATGCAAATGCTATGGGCAGGGTCTCACTGACTGTGCCTTTGTCTTTGTGGATCCATTCAAGAAACTTTTTTTATTGATAAACATTTGTGATCAGTGGCTGGGCAGGTTCTTTCACTGATCTACGTCATTTTGCATGCTTCGTTATCTCCACCTACAAACTCTGCCTTCTTCAAAAAACATGAAATAGACAGGTCGACTCTGTCTAAGATTAGACTTATTTCAGACTTGCTTTAGACTCATTTTAGACTACACTTGTTACTGTAATACTCCTGCATGCTCTTGCAGACTTGTGTACTTCTTGAAGAGGCTGTTTGACCGTAGAACAACAAACATATCTCAATAAAGAATTCTGCTTGTCGAGTCTCCTGGTTTGGGTTCTCATTTTTCAAAAACCTTGGTGCCATAACCCGGATAAAAGAGACTAAAATTGACCTAAATCAAGTCTGAATCTTCATTTTCAACAAAACAGATTCATTACAGACTTGTTTCAGACTTAGAGACTCATTTATTACTTGATGATACCGTTTGACTGCAGAATAACCAGCAAATATGGGTTCTCATTATTCCAACAACTTGGTGCCATGAACCTGATGGAGACTGAAATGAACCTCAATCAAATTTGAAACTTAAGTTTCAACAAATCAGACTTATTTTAGACTTGTCTCTTGGTTTGGATTCTCATTTTTCCCAAGCACTGTGGCTGTTTGAGTTAGTTTTATTTTCTAATAATTTAACAGGCCTACAATTATATTAGGGTTTCTTTCATACCTTAAGACTGTTCAGAAGGCCAAACTAATCAACCAAGAACTTGTAAAGACTCGACTACTGCAGTGTTCTACTCGAGGACCTTCCTGTTAGAACAACTAATCCTTGAGGTTTACAACAAAAGTGAATATTACATTCGATAACTACTACACTGACAATTTAAATGTTCATTCGTAATGAATACTATAAAGATATCTACTACACTGCTAATTTTAGATGTTTATTGCTGATAAATACTATAAAGATATCTACTACACTGACAATTTTAGATGTTTATTGGTAATAAATACTATAAAGATATCTACTACACTGACAATTTTAGATGTTTATTGGTAATAAATACTATAAAGATATCTACTACACTGATAATTTTAGATGTTTATTGGTAATAAATACTATAAAGATATCTACTACACTGATAATTTTAGATGTTTATTGGTAATAAATACTATAAAGATATCTACTACACTGACAATTTTAGATGTTTATTGGTAATAAATACTATAAAGATATCTACTACACTGACAATTTTAGATGTTTATTGGTGATAAATACTATAAAGATATCTACTACACTGACAATTTTAGATGTTTATTGGTGATAAATACTATAAAGATATCTACTACACTGACAATTTTAGATGTTTATTGGTAATAAATACTATAAAGATATCTACTACACTATCCTGCACAGTTTAGTTCCAACTCTGATCAAACACAACTGCTAACAGATAATTAGTGATCTTGGAGAATTTGGCTGCGTCCGAAACCGCCTACTACTCAGTAGGTACTGCATTTGAATTTAAACATACTACTCGGCCGTTAGAAAAGTACGTTCTATACAGTATGAATGTGAAAGTATGAATGGAATTCGGACGTACTATATCCGCCATTTTGTCATGGTCACGCGACCTACCTGCATAATTTGCGTCGCTTCACTTCCATTCATGAATTCTCTCGCAGGTCATCATGGGATAGCACAGCATGCATGGGATGCGCACTCTAGAATTTCGCCGGAACTAGTAAATCATCCGGGTACTTCTCGCATACTGATTTTCGAATTCTAGGAATTTGGACATACTACTCAGCTCACATACTGATTTTGGCGTACTATATAGTATGGAAGTATGCGGTTTCGGACGCAGCCACTGATTAGCATGTTCAGGTGTGTTTGATGAGAGTTGGAGCTAAGCTATGCAGGACATCGGCCCTCCAGGACCGAGTTTGCTCACCCCTGCTCTACAACTTAAAAAAAAAAAAAAACACTTACCATGCAGCATAACTACTTGTCCAAGACTAGACTACAGCAATGCGTTACAACCAGAATAACTAAACCTTTGCAAGTGATTCAGAACAAAGCAACACATGTAGTCTTCAATCCAACAAATAAAAACCACTCTACTGTCATGCGACTTACTCCCAGTTATGACCAGAATCAAACGTAAATCTACTGCTCCCTCTCTCTACTTACAACCACAAATGTACACTCCCATCACCTCAGGTCTCCTTGTTCTTTCACGATGAGGTAAATACTCACTATCACTCCTTCTCCAAAAAAAACAACAACACTCAACTCTTTCCACCCTCTCGGTTCCTCTGTGGTGGCATGAGCTGCCAACCTCCACCCCAACTGCTAAAAGCATCACGTCTTTCAAAGAAGCAACGTTAGCATGCACTTACACTTTGCCCACTCTCTTAAACCATTCCACTCACACATACAGTTTTTCTGCATCTTATAAACCTGTCATTGTACACTGCAACAATTGTCAACTATGTGATGAATTGCTTTGTTCCTCTTTCGTAAATCATTTTGGATAAAAGCATGTGCTAAATGCACACACTGGAATGTAAATGTTATAGTTGTGGTGGAGACTTCCTTGTTTTTACAGAATCTTAACCATTACACTTTATTGTCAGGCTGTAATGGCTGGAATTTCCAAAAAGCTGATAAATAATTAAATAAAATGACAGGTAAACAAAGCCCTGCCTCAATGACTTTCATATTTAAATAAAAGAAATGGCCAACCGAATCACTAAATAATTAATTCTCAATGCCCTATGTAATGAATCAGCAGCACATATGGCTCTGAAAGCTACACTAAAAACTAATTTGTTTTAATACTATGCTAAAATCACCTTCCAACATTCTAATATCTAGAACCCATTAATGGAAAAACTAACAATTCACCTTTAACTAACCATATGCATTTGAAAATTGAACCAATGACCAATGAAAAAACAACAAGAGAGAAAGAGAAAGTGAGTGCAAGAATAAGAGGGCAGAGGAAAAGAGAGTGATTAGCAGTTTGTTTGACTCCACATGCAGAAAGTTCAGCGATTCTGAACACAAAAAGCATGATTATAATAACGAAAAAGACGAAAAAGGTTGCTGAATTTCAGAGGAAGAGATAGATAAACACCAAGTCTGGACATGCCTGAGAACGGACTCAGATCGCTTACACAAAGAGGCGCTGAGAAGAGCCAGAAGAAGCATGGTGAAGAAGCAGGAAGCCCGCATAGCTTGACGAAAAGCAGCCAATGAGAATGTGAGGCAGAGAGGAGGGTATGTGACTGTTTGCCTTTTGTGTGCGGGAGAGAAACATGACCACAGAGAACGCTAACCGAAGTGGGCATCGAGTTACAATCATTCCTCTGAGAGTAAAAAAGAAAACTCAATGTCATGAAAAACACATTTCAGTAGTTATTAGGTAAGAAACAAAGGTGATAAATAAGCTACACAGTGAGGATTTACTCCATAGCACAAACAATGATGGTTAAGTTATGAAATAAAAAGGTAACTGTAAGGGTTGATGGGATATTTTGCCCAAAAATGACAATTCTATTTAAATTATCCATACATCGGTTTTTCCATGTAGTTGACAGGACAATGCTATTCAATTGCAATGGTTCCTGGTTTTGTTAATCTTTATTACAAGACATTATACAGTAACTAGATTGTTCAGGAAGGCTGCCATGGTTGCTAAAGTGTTCTTATAGTTTTATTGAATGTTGCTTTGTATTTGCTGACATTGATATGTATAAGTAGATGCCACATTTGGCTGATCTAAAGGCATCACTGTCAATAAAAATCTATTTGTTTTCCCAAAATACCACAAAAGATGGTTCTGGTAATGTATGTATGTAATAATTCAAATTAAAAATATTTATAATTACAACAAGGTTTCATGGGTGAGAATGTGTGGGTTTCTTTTGACTACTACTCAATATGTAATGTTTTATTTAACATGTTTTAACTTTTCAATGTTATGTTAGCTAATGTCTTTATCTTGTGTTGAGTTGTTTTAGCCTATCACAAAATATCAGTTTATTCATCATGTCACTGCTGTCATGTCACACTAGCTATGTTTCCATCAAAAGATGCTAATTATATTTATGCACAAAACTGGAATATCGCATAGGAGACATGTGAATAAAGCAACGTTTCCATCCAACGAGTCAAAGAGAACAGAATCGCCACTTCCTGATTAATTGGCGGCAAATATCAGAAGTAAAAACGGAATTTGCTACGGTAGGAGAAGCTGCGCAGATCTTTTCTTTGTTTAATAAATTACTCAGAAGACAAATGCAATGAAAGTGCAATGAAAGTGTGGTGGTGTTACAAGCGTGAAAAGCAGAGCACAGATGCTCTTGACAGTTCTGGAGGTATAATTAATAATATAATAACACTAATACTGAAATGGTTACGGCGTTTTAAAATGACCAAAAAAACATTTCAGATGTTTTACAGTGCGCTGAGCCTGCCAGTTTGTCCATTGACAAACGTTTTTATCATCACTTGATCTCATAAAACAGTCATAAAACATCTTAACAGTCTTAAAACAAAAACAGTCCTAAATCATTATTTTAAATGCGCATACTGGAATTTGTTTGGTGAACATGTTTCAATCATGGTTCATGCTAATCTTTTCTTAGTGAATAAAAATGTATCCTACTCAATTATGCACATATGTTTTTTTTATGCATATTTTCAAAACTTATCTGCATCTTGGCGTGTCTATCAACCATTTCTTATGCACATCTCCAAAATGGGCATAAAAATAGGTGGATGGAAAGATATCCACAGTGTTAAATGGTTACTAAAAAAGCTGCCAGTATCTTACATGTTACAGACTAAAGACATATGTAACAAGTAACCAGAGCTGGGTAGATTACACTAAGTTGTAATCAGTTACTTCATAACAAAATGTAAGGAAAAATATAGGGAAATGTCTTAGATTGCACAATTACGATAATGTTATATGACTACTTTTTGATTACATTTAGATTACTTCTGGACTAATCCTTAAAGGTCCAGTGACATGCTTTAAAATGTGCATTTTGTATTCGATGTTTGATGTAAGTTCAACTAAAACATGAAGAAAGGGTGGCTACTCCCATTTTAAAAGAACAGCCAACAGTGTTTTGTTTTTCTCACAGGTCTACCAGTTGAGAGTGATTAAGCTCAAGTGCATCAAATGAAAAGCAACAAGAAGTGTATTGAAGGGGTGGGGCATGTCAGATACTAGAGAGCATTTGAATAGTCATGATATGATGAGAAACTAGCATGAGAGGACGTTAATAAAACTGTTATTCCATTAAGGCGGAAGTGGCTAACTACAAGCTTTACATATTTGCTTTAGATCTTATAAAACACGACTTTTATTACTGTTTTAGAGCGCACTAGCTTATAGATATCTTAAAAACGTACATTACTGATATTAACATTTAAAAAAATGTTCATTTGATTCATGGGACCTTTAAAGAACAGTCAATAGCATTTTGCTTTTCTCACAGGTCTGCCGGTGAGAGTGATTGAGCTCAAGTGAATCAAATGAAAAGCAACAAAAAGCATCTTGAAGGGGGCGGGGCATGTCAGATACTAGAGAGCATTTGATTAGGAAAGAAAACACATTAAAAGCGCATATGGCAGTATCAGTCATGCAACTCATCTCCACACACAAAAAAACACAAATGCTCATAAACGAGAAGCAATGAATTCTCATAATTTACTGCCATTGGGTAAAACATCATTTGTAATAATGTAATATATAACACCAAAACACATTTTTTGAGATGTTGACAGTCATATACATGTCCCACGTTGCTAAAAACACTATTAGGACACATATATTTCACAAAAAAAGTGAAAATTGGTTGTTTTGCATTGTTTAGAGCAAACCTTTAGGACACACCATGTAACCAGCGATTTTTGATTACCCTAATCTGACTAAAGTCATAACTGAACTAAACAGAAATGGAACTAAGACATGTGGAGTATGCATATATCAGTGGTATTATTGAGGTAAACACCATGATCAAACTATTGATAGACTATTGATATGATATAGTTTGAAAACCCCTGGTTTAGAGCAAGTGTGTCAAATCAATGTTCTTTGTTTAAGTTTATTCAGATGGCAAAATTAGTTAGTATTGTCAGCAGTGCTCTTTCAGTTTTTAAAGACATACCTAAGTCAAAATGATTTAGTTACTAAGTTTACTGTAAAATCACTACAATACTAAAGACTGAAAATCCTCCACTTCCACACAGCTCTCAGATCCGCTGTAAATGCTGCTCTCCGAATTACTATCCATCTCCCCTGAGTCTGTGTTTGTGTTGCCTCTGTGAAAATCAGCTGTTATGCACTTAATGAAACTCCCCTTTTCATGCAAACCCTTTCACCACTCCCACCTAAAGCTGGACTCACCCACTTTCCTGACTTTTTTTAAACTAGAGGTGTGAAAACCCCCTGCTGAAACAAGGGGTTTCATGGCGCTTTAAATTAACATCTCTTAGAGACAAATATATATTTAAGATGTATCTCAATGTAACAAATAAATACTAAGTAAAGGCACTTAGTAAGGGTTTTAAGCGTAGTATGAAATCTATTAATAGAAATGCTTTCTCTCTTGCTGTTAATTTTAGACTAGAGAAACGGCAGAAAGACTTACCTGTGGAGCTGTTCCTCTAGATACCAGCACTGGATTGTTGGTGGTTCGCCTGTTCCTGGGCGGTGGATTAACTGCCTGGATGTCCTGATCCACAGGTGGAGGAGGAGGACCAGGCAGCGTTATTGTCAACTCCTTGTTTGTCTTCTCCAATAGATACTCATTTATTAAGTCTGTAAAAATATGATATAGCTTTTGTTGTTGCTGAACTATCACGTTTAAATCAGAAACAATTTCAATTCCATACATTGTCAATGGAAAATAGGTACGAAGAGAGAGTAACAAAGTAAATAAATAATATCAAAGAACATGAATATAAACTTGAGGGTAAAATACTTAAGAGTCAATTACAGTATACAAAATAATACAAGTATTAGCAATATCCATAAATTTAGAAAAGGTTACTTTACAAGGACACATTTTGTGAAGCATTTTAAAATGTATTTCTTAAATCTTATTTAAAAGGCTAAATTTAAATGGAATTGACCAGGTAGCTTTCCAAATAGTATCAATAATTTTTGCATTCTATTAATACTTCCCCCTAGGGCAGGGATGACAAACTCAATTCCAAGAGGGCCGAAGCCCTGCACAGTTTAGTTCCAACCCTGCTCCAACACACCTACCTGTAGGTTTCAAACAAGCCTGAAGGACTCAATTAGTTTGATCAGGTGTGTTTAATTAGGGATGGAACTAAACTGTGCAGAGCTGCGGCCCTTTTGGAACTGAGTTTGACACCTGTGCCCAAGGGGATACTTTGTGTTTAGATTGCAACAATTGTCTATTTTTAAAACTGTTATTTTTATGATGGAGAAAGTATGTCAAAACCTTAATTTTTTTTATTCTGGGAGTATCTTTTTAATGTATCCATAAGAAAGGTAACTGTTAATTAGTTGATATTTATAGAAAGTTTTTTTATTGAATACAAGAAAAATAACATCACTGCATTAAAGTGAAAATAAAATAATCAAAAATTAAGAAAATAGAAAAATAGAGATTTTTTTTATTTTACAAAGCCTCAATCATTAAGAAAAAAAACATTATCATAAGCTTTAAGAAACAGTTTATTATTATTATTATTATTATTATTATTATTATTATTATTAATAAGCTTAAGAGATTCAATTTTAAACAAAATTTCAGCAAGAAAAGTATTAAATCTAGTTATTGATATTTATAGAAAGTTTAAAAAAAAAAAATTTTTTTTTAATTAACTCAATGCCACATGAACAAGAGGTACTACATTTCACAAGGTTTACTGAAAGAGTAAATATAAAAAGACATAATAAAATAAAGTAAAATTACATTTACATAAAATTAAATGTTTTCAGAGCAGTATATGTTTTCAGTGTTTTTTTGTTTAGTGATTCTAGTGGTTCTAAAAGACTACCATATAATTTGAAGTAATTTACAAAATGCGAATAGGTTGGTTTATGTTAACTTTTTCATAAACCACTTTTTCTTATGTATATGGTATTCCTAACAGCATAAACAAATTAAAAATATGTTGCCTTTTACAGTTCAAGTTCTCATTATCAAAAATAAAACAGTAAATATCTTTCCAAAATATTCTTCAGTAATATTTATAGAAAGTTTTTTATATTGAATACAAGAATAATGACATCCCTGCATTGAAAAATATACAATAACAAAAAATAAGAAAAAAGGAACACAAAACAACAAAAACTTTACAAAGCCTCAACCATTAAAAAAAGATTATCATAAGCTTTAAGAAACATATTATTCTTACTATTATTAATAAGCATAAGAGACTGAATATTGAACAAAATTTTAGCAAAGAAAGTATTAAATCTAGGTATTGCCTTTAGGAACCTTTTTTGTGTATAAAAAAATTAAAGTGTAACACAAAAAAATAACAATAAGATCAAAAGCATTATCGTTGCCTGAGAAATACAGAAATTATATTTGGAGAAAGTGGACAACAAGGTCATCTCACAACGACGTCACTCACCTAGCTCCAGGTCTGCAGTGAGGCATGATGGGAAAGAAGAGACAGGAAAAAACAGTTAAACGTGCTCATTCCTGGAAAACGAAACTGAAACAACTTATCTAACCATCTACACAACATCACACTAGCGCTTAAGGACAAGCAATGTCGTGTGAGAAAAACATCTCTGCAACAGTTTATGCGTTATTAACAAACGAAAAACACGAGATGATAAATGTTCAATTAAAGCTTATTTGTATAGCACTTTTTACAATAATTGTTTCATAGCAGCTTTACAAAATGAGCACATAATAGCAATACTATCAAGTTAAGTTCTAAGTTACAATCAAATAAAGTAATTGTATATAAACATAGTTAACCTGCAGTTTTAGCGTATAGGTGATGTCTATGTGTACATATTTATTGAGATGTGTTTGTGTATTAAGTGTACGTGTTGTCCTCGAAATCTTCGATGGCTGGCATCATCTCTTCACGGGTCTTGTAATGTAGGCTACTATTCGATTATACTAAACGATTATTTGATGACAGTAAGTTAGAGGGAGAGACACATCCGCGGGCCTGTGTTATTGTTTCGAACAGGCCCGCAACTTTTGGAAACACCCACTTCCCCTAGAAACAACTTACTGTCGATAATACCGTCAACTTCAGTGTCAATAAAAGCGATATGAAAGCAATATAACGTGATGTGGCGATTGTGTTTAAATTCAAGTGCACAATAAACTGCGTAGGTTCAAAGTAAAGCAGATATCGCTAAAACATGCTGAATCACAGTGACAACAGGGAGAAAGTGAAGATGGAAGAAACGAAAGACACTGACCTCCATTAGCCGCTTTGCCGTTCGGAATGTTCATGTCTTTCATTGCAAGACAAATTGAGAAACCAAAGTCTCTTCGGCTCCTTCACGCGCTCTCGCAGTCGTTGTTGTGCTGAACTGCTGCCCGAAAACCAGAAACGGAGCACTTCTCGCCAGGCCCGCGTTACGCACTCATTTCCGGGTGCGTCGTTTTTTGGAAGGCTGTCAAATTAACAGAAGCTTTTTAGGGAAGAAATCCCGAGAGAAGCAGAGAGATCTCTGTAAGTTATCTCGGTCTCGTGGACAAACTACTGACATCAAAATTCGCTCTGTTTGCTCGTTTCACTTTTCTCTTCGTAACTGGTGGTGGAAATCCCCCTACGTCACGATTGGGGAAACCCAAAAAATGGTCACCATGACAACGTCTACCAACAGGTGAGAGCGCGTCCTAAAATAACCAACCCATATAGCTTTATAAAATAACACATCATTTTACAGTATTAGTTAATTTGTATTATATACACACCAAATACTAATTTAAAATGTATTAATTATGTATAACATGTATATAAACCATTATTAACTAACATGTAAATGAACTAATATGTAAATATACTATTTTTACTATTATTATTATAAAAATTATTAATTCATTATTATTATAATTGTTATCTTTAATATTTTAGGACCACATATCCTGCTTCCCTATAATGTTTTTAGGTTTAATTCGGCATTTTTTTGTTTTTAGATTTATTTCGACATTTGTACATTAAAAAATATTTAAAACCATTAAAAATATAAATGCCTATGTCTATGAAAATAAACACCAGATACAACCGTGTGACACGGGAAGATCAGAGTGAGTGAAACCATTTTTTAAAGGTCACGTGATCTACAATAAATATTGCAGATACTACAGACGGATACATTACCACTATCGCTTTTGTCATTGCGTCAGCTTCTGTTTATATTAGCCCTGGTAATGTTAAAACACTTCGAAAAAGCCTAAACTGCAATAACGCATGTAAAACACTAAACTGTACAGATCTAACTAAAGCCCTTGATTTTTATTCATGACTAAACCAGTCAAAATACCACCTACACACCCCTCTGCCCATACTCTGCCCTGATATTTCCCATCGACACGTGCTGGTCATATGACTGAGAGGTGCATATAAAGCGATCATGTGAGAGCGCGCCCAGGCGAAGCAAACACCCCCAAAATTAGCGACCAGCTCTCCGATTTCACAGTTATCATGCGCCATGCCCTCACCAATCCCCGTCACCCGACTTTTGCCAAAGGATTTCGGCCTCGAGTTTGGCGCATGCAGCAGCCCGCTGACCAAAACTGCCAGTGGATCTACCCTGCGCGTGCCCACAAACAAGTTTCATGGTAAAGTCGCACACAGGCTCTGGTCCTCCGTGATCCACTGGCGCGAGCTGCAGGCTCTGGAGCCCATAGGCAGCGGTGGATTCGGTACGGTGTTCAGAGGCACATACTTCGGCGAGACTGTCGCTGTGAAAAAGGTCAAGTGTGTGAAAAACAAACTGGCATCGAGGCAAAGTTTCTGGGCGGAACTCAACGCCGCGCACCTGCACCATCAAAACATTGTGCGCGTGCTCGCGGCCACCACGTGCACTCCTGCGCATCTCAACACCAAAGACAACATCGGGACGATCGTAATGGAGTTCGCAGGCAATATAAATCTACAGAAGCTCATTTATGGGCTCACAGACTTGCTTCCTGTGGAGAAGTGTATAAAGTATTCAATAGACATCGCGCGCGCCCTCCAGCACCTGCACGCGCACGGCGTAGTGCACCTGGATTTAAAACCAGCCAATGTCTTGTTGTCAGAACAGGGTGTTTGTAAAATCGCAGATTTTGGGTGCTCGTTTAAAATATCCAGCACAAGTGACACCGTGACGCACATGAATGAAATCGGCGGCACGTTTACGCACCGGGCGCCCGAGCTGCTGAAAGGTGAGGAAGTGTCGCCGCGCGTGGACGTTTATTCTTTTGGCATCACGATGTGGCAGCTGCTCACCCGAGAGCCGCCCTATGAGGGAGACAGACAGTATATCCTGTACGCTGTTGTGGCGTATAACCTGCGCCCTTCGACCAGCAGGAATGTTTTTACCCAGTCTTCTATTGGACAGACTTGTCAAAAACTGATCAGCCGGTGTTGGGACGGCGACCCCAGCATCCGACCGACCGCAGATAAGCTCGTCGACGAACTTTCAGTTTTACTGTAAAATTGAATCTCCGCGTTTGCAAAAAAAAAAAAAAAAAATCTTCAATGAAACGTTTTTTTATAACAATTGTTTAATATTGTAAATGTTCGTGTTTTTGTTTTATTGTGAAGCTAAATTTTTTATGCAAAAATGTTTAATTAAATGTTTCCTTGTGTTTAAAGCGAGCCTTTTGTTTGATTTGTTGCATTTCCTCAATATTTAAAAAAAAACAAAATAGTACGACACGACACCTTGTAGGCTAGGTTTGCAAATAAACGTTTCACAAAACTAGTAACTTGTCAAACCTTATGGATCAGATTTCATCCAATAGTTTGATTAACGACTGTTATTTTGCTTTGTTATCCTGCTGCTGCACGTTAACTCGCTTATAAATATTTTGACCTTGACCTGTCCACTTATTTTACACAGAAGCGGGTCTCCTCCTAAAGTGACATGTTGAGGTCACCTGAATTTGAAACATTTAACACTATTTAGATAAGAGATTCCCAAACTGGGGCTTGCGGGCCAAAGTTGGCCCTTTGAAACATTTTATATGACCCGCCATCCCAATTGAGGATATTGGGGGTATTGCCTTTACATATTGGGATTTTTTTTTACATATTGTCATACATATTGCCTTTTTGTAAACTTTCGTTTTGTTAAACTACAAAAATTCAAATTTCCATGAAATGTTGTGATTGAATCCGATAGTTTTTAAATCTACAGTTGCTCGACGGATAGACCAAATTTAGAAGTCCTCGGCGAGCAAATAATGGCAAAAGCAGGTGCAGATTGATTGGTGTATTCAGCATCAAACTCCATTTTTGTAAATGTAATTCTTGTTTTCATTGTTATAAATAGTTTATAATAATACATTAGTTTAAATGTAGTTAATATGATTAAAGTTATGTGTCCTATTTATTTTGAAAGAAATGAGGAAATGATTAATGGCAATGTTTATATTGATCTTTGGCCCTTAATCGTGTTTGGTTACCCCTGATTTAGAAACTAACAATCTTGAGAACACAATGCATTAATTTCCTTTGACGATGATGTATTTTCACCGCTAGGTGTCACCACAATATCAAAATATGCATCCGCGTATATTTGTGAACATTGCTGAAATAAACGAGAGGGTGCTCGCTGCAGAGCCATTTGAGGAGAGCTGAGCTCCAGCGAGGGGGAGCTTAAGCTTGAGCTCCACCTTTCTTGCACTTCTTCTACGAGTGATGTCACTGGGGGTAGGGTTAGGGGTGGCGTTGGTGTACGCATTAAAACAGCTTACAGGAGGATGAGCGACAGCTCATGCTCCCCCTCGCTGGAGCTCAGCTCTCCTCAAATGGCTCTGCAGCGAGCACCACTTGGGAATAAACCACTACAAGCTCAACACAACAGAAATTGCTCGAGGAGTCAAAGACCCCCAAGTGTCTGAGACCAGACTGAAGGCTAATCCATGTACGAGTGGTTTTAACTAAAAATAACCTGCAGTGACAAAGTACACCAGTAATATGTTTCTCTAAGTTATTGAAAGCTGCTTAATTACCCTATTTATTGAAGGCATAGTCCTGGCATAAACCAAGTCCTGTTTGTGAATCCAGCTGAACATTGTATTGCAGACGTATTAGATAAAGGGGAGGGGATCAATTGTGTTAAAAAAAAACTTTTTTTTTTTTTTAGAGTCAAAATATCTAGATGAAGTAAGTATAAAGTAATACATTTCCTTCTTTTATACTTTTTAAACTTTGGATAACCCATTTTGATAGTGCCTCTTTCTAAAAAATACTTCATAAACCCAAATAAAACTTTGCTTTTGCCCATTGATGTTTCTCTAGAATAAATCTAAGAGATATTTTAATAATTAAATATGACCGTTTTCACAAAGAGTCATGCTACTATGGTAAAATTATTTTATAAAAATACTAAATGATGTATTATAATTAGCAGCTAAGTCTTTACACTGGTAACCACAACATATTTTCCAGAACAAATAAATAAAATAAGCATATTTGCACCTCAAATGGAGCAATCAAATGTTTCACATTTTGTCCAAAATCATTATGTGGTTTCTATTTAAAATCTTCAGTATTTACTCATTTCTCTTGCTGTATTTATGAGTCATGCTTCATCTCAAACCTTTCAAAAGTATGCAAAACAAACGCAAACATAAAACTCATGAGACAAAAATAACTCCAATGTCCACTTTAAACTGTACTTAAGCTTTACTATAAACATGAGTGATCAAATTTTGGAACGTACCAAAATAAAAGCCCAATCAACTCAGAATTACGGCACCAAAATAGGACAAACCAGACATTTCGTCCCACGCAAGTTCTTGGACTGTGCCATGAGTCCAGCCGAACCGGACACACGGAGACACACTGTGGTCCAGCAGTGGAGTGTGAATATAATGAAACTAGTTCTCAGTGAGAGGACTGGCAATTCAGCTATTGCTAGACAGATTAACGTCAGCAGGATTACATTTTACAAGCTGTTAGGCTGTACAGTTTTAGGACATACAAAATAAAAGTCAGAGGCTTTGAAAAAAAGAAAAGAAATCATGACCATAGTTATTAATAATATTAATATATAATTATATATTAATACCTACAAGGCTGTTATTTCTTTATTTTTATGTTCAAGTCTGCAACATCAAATCTTGTTTTAAAAACGTGGAAAGTCTCTCGTCTCGCACGGAATTGACTGTTTGTTTGGTCAGCTCCGTCCTACTCTACGCTGCTGCGTCCTGGTACCCCTTCACACATGGAATGAACAGAAAATAAGTACACTGAATCAGGAGAACAGTGAGGTTTTGTTTGTCCTCTTTTCCTTAATCTTGTACTTCAAAAAACAAAATGATATGTACTGCAATCGCCCTATTCACTCCAGCCGATGGGATTTAATCTCGGACCACCTAACCCTTCATGTTATTAGTGTTTCCAACCCAAAAATATACAATACAGTACATCACATTTTACTTCACTTGGACTGCAAAAATATGGGAGATTGGAAAAAAAGAAGAATGATTTTAGGAATTCTACATTAAATATATTTTTTTCATGTGGATCCCACACAACGGAGGATCGTTGAACTGAACTTTTTTTTTTCCTGCAGTCTTTTACGTAATACCATTAATCCAGTTCCCTTCCCTGACAATTAAACAAACTCAGCCTCGAAGATGCATCATGCACCTTCAACAAGACCAGAGGACAAGGGAGAGGAGGGGGGGTTAAAAGGGGGTTAATCATTCTTCTTCTCCCCCTCAGGTTTTTCTGTGATGGCAGCAGGTGTTTCGCCA